ATCCAAAATCCCAGAGGAAAATGAAGAGAAGAGTTTGTGAACTATCTGAATAAAATAGTCAGGGAGTGAAAATGTTTTAGTCCCAAAGTATCCAAGTGAAGGTAACATAATAAAACATCTTGACTATACATAATAGTAGTAAAAGAAGAATCTCACTCTTATTACCACTGAATCCAATCTTCAGTGATAGGTTGGACTTCTCTGACCTGTTAAGTCACTTAAGCATCTCCTTCATCTGGAAGGGGGAAAGCGCCCTGTATCTGGCCCTGTCTTGAAGATGGCCAATACCTTTCTGTGGCTTAGAAAGGCTTATGAATTTTGCTGTCACTTTTCATTTTCTTTACATTACATTATTTAAAAAAAAATCTCACATCTGGCACTGGAATAAGATGTCTTAGATAGGTATGTTGACATTTATATTGGTCTCACAGCTCTGCTATAGGAGTACATTAGTCTTGCCAAATTCTTATTAAATTCGTTCATTAAGGTGTGCCGGTTTTTGCCTTTTGCTTTTTGTCTTTTTTGTGCTGCAGCTGAACGAGGCCAGCAGATTTTGAGCTGTCTATTCTGTTATCTTTAATATTCTTGGATAAACTGCCTTGACTCTTTTTCCACTCAATAAATGCTTGTGGCAGTATATTCTCACATATTTATTTCATTTCTGTGGAAGCTATGTCTGTGACACATTTAATTGTGCTTAAAGTAGCTGCAGCGTTTCTGTAGCTTGCTTTAGACTTATGACAGATACATATGCATAAAGGTTGGGCCAGTGTTGTTTTTCCTTGTGTGGTCTTCTGTAGAAACTCGTCTTTATTAAGGATCAACATTTTTTAAAGGTGCCTCAACATGATCTTGCGTTTAGTACCCACAGCTTTTTGTAGGCCACTTTAGTGGGACTGTAAATTATCAGGAGCAAAAATCAACACTTTTAAGACCTCCATCTGTCCATTCACAAGGTAAACAGACAGTTTGTCTAAATACCATTGCTTGCAACCACATTTATTTACACTGCCAAAAATGTGGGGTGAAAACCTGGTCTTTGGGGAACTGAATGGGCATTTAACCGTTGACTGATTTCTGTGGGGTCAGGATTTCTCCCATTAGTCTATGGTAAAATCACTTTTTTCTAGTTGAGCTCTGAAATCAGATGGAAATTTCATGGTATTTCTGAATATCTTCTTTTTACTAAAGATAGTTGAGGAGAATCTACATTAAGGGTTTTTTTTTTTTTTTACAACTCTTATTGGCTGTTTAATGTTTGCTACTCTGTGTAAACAACTTCTCTACCCACTTAAGACATACTAAACAGTTAAGTCTTTTTCATTCCATTACTGTTCTATTTGTAAATGCTGACAAAGCAAGACGCAAATCTAATGCAGCTGAATGCTGGTCTTAAAAGTGAATGTCAGGCAGCCAACTGGCTGCTTACTAGCTCTTCACACTAAAGTAGGAAAAAAGGTCTCCAATGGGAAACTCCCTTTCCTTTAAGATCGATGCCACAAATCATTTAAGTGTACAGAAAACATCCTCCTGCAAATGTTAATTCAGCATGGGACAAGATTTGTCATAGGACCAAAAAAGCTATGAATTCAATGACCAACTGGCTACCAAGGGAATCTTCCATCAGATAAACTTTATTCAGAGAGCTGTTTCTTAATTGCCCTCTTTCAAATTCTCTCTCTTTCTATGAAGCTGTTGACTACCATCCATATATGACAAAATCAGTAGTGCAGGAATGGTGGTGGTCATCTGTTTCAAAGCTGTCAGTTCAGTAGTCACCCAACTTCTTATTGGCATATAGGTTTATCTAGAGGTGACCGGGGGGGGGGGGGGAAAAATCTTGCCCCCCCCCCCCCCCCCCCCCCCACACACAATTTGTTGCTTGGCTTATACTGAATGTGCTCACACAGACTGAGTGTGCTCAGTAACACTGCTGAAGCCAGCTGCCCTCACTCTGCCCCCACATCGGGAGGCATGGGTAGTCTCTGGGTTTTCCTCTTATACAATGGATAAAATGAAGGATCATCTGCCAATGTACAGCTTGGAGTAATTTGCTTGTAACATCTTTCTTAAAAACTAACCAAAACTCATTTTAACATCTCGCGCACTTGCTGTGTGCAATTCTTGAGCTTTATAAGCTGTCGGTTTTGGTTATACAATGCTATAGACTCCCCTCTTGACTCTCCCAGTTGTAACGGCTGGACGCCACCTGGCTGTTGGCAGCCGCTTCGTACAATCACTCAGCAATAGGAAGGAAGTCTCCTGACGCATACTCGGTATTGGTTGTAGCCTTTTACCTAAAATATGCCCGCAGGAGCACTTTCAACCTAGAACATTTAGGACCTACTGTACTCAAGAAGAAACCATTATTCAAAAAAATCTAGGCATGCCAGCTTTCCGCAAGCTGAGAGAATACATGGGTTCAAAGAATTCATTTTCTTGTTAGTAAGCACTGTCTTTTTAAATCTAAAAGGATTTTCTCTGCAGCTAGACACTGGCTGCAAACAGATGTAAGCCTCTTGACAGACTCCTAGCATGGTGGGGATAGAAAACTGGCTTTTCTGGGTGGCGTGGTTTTTCTTTCTTTCTATCCATGCTTAACAAGCCACTGGATGCTGAGTGAGAGGGGCATGGATATGCAACCTGGAATTTTGATGTCCTGCTAATTTTGCTAAATAAGGTCCTGATGCAACTCCCAACTAAGTCATTTGGAGTTGGATGGGACCCATAAGTGGGTAGCTGCTTTCTGCACTAGCTGAGGCTTTCAATGGTAGCCCTCATGGAGCATACTGTAGTGATCTGATGGGGCCTGGGTGAATGGGTGGCAAAGCCTGAATCGGAGAGGAATGATTTGTCATTCTGACCAAATGTGGATGGGATAAAGCTCTTCTGGCCAACAATTTTTTTTTCAATATCTAGGAACAGCTGAGAGCCCAAAAGCCATCCTCAATGCAAATGATATGAATAAAATTATATAGACATGGCACATATCAACCCTGATGCCCTCCCCCTCCCCTCCATTTTAGAAGGGGAAAATTGACTGACTTTAATACAATACACACTACTCTAGCTGGCTTAATATTAAATACTGATGTGGTTATGCACAAAGGTGTATCGACTGGTCTGTTCCCTTCTAGTTGCTTAGACATAATTGAGCTGATCACACACTTCAAACTTCTTCTAATAGCTCATCTGAAGCTAAAGATTAAGGGACAACTCTCTACTTGAGTGGATTTTTTTAAAATTACCAGAGACGCTTGTATTAGGCAAACAGCTTTTTGAAAAAATCTCTCATGGCAACCAAAGACATTGATTAGAATGGCTTGTTTATGTAGCCTAGAACTTTTTTTTTTTTTTTTTTTTTTTAAATGCTAGGAAGGGGCTTCTGAAGGAAGTCTATTAAAATAGAAGATGTGTAGACTCAGATAATTACACAGGCTTATCCAGACCTATTAGAGTTGGACAGGCTATTTAGATGACTGTGTGAGCCAGGTATATTGGGATGGGCACAAGAATGTGGCCTAAAAGTTCTAGCACTGCAACTGGCCAGCCTGGTGACCTTGGGTAACTTGGCATTTTACAAATGGGGATCATGACAATTTTGTAAAGTGCTTTGACTCCTATAGATGAAACACGTTCTATAAGAGCTAGATATAATACTATATATGTTATAAGATCATATTTCCACTCCTGGTCACACTGAGGATATGTGAGTTGAGATTAAAATATCAGGTTGGCTGATCTCTCTAGGTCAGGGGTCGGCAACCTACGGCACGCGTGCCAAACACGGCACGCGATCCAATTTTGAGTAGCACCAGCTCCCTGCCGCGGTCCCGGCCCTCAGCCCCACCGCTCTCCCCTGCGGGGAGCCAGCAGCTCTGCAGCAGCCAAGCTTCCCCCCTCCCCCTCTTCTTCCCCCAGCGTGGTGCTTTCCTGCCCCTCCTCCTCTCCGTCCCTGCGCCAATCAGCTGATGGCCCTAGGGAGGGGGAAGAGTGGCAGTGTGCACACAACTCTGTAGAGCAGGCAGAGAGAGGTAGGGTCAGAGCCTGGGGGAAGGGGGTGGAACAGGGCATATCCCTTCCAGCCCCCTGCCGTGAGCCGCTCAGGGCAGGGGGCTGGGAGCACCCCCACGAGCCGAGCACCCCAGCCTTCTGCCCTGCACCCCCCCCACACCCTCCAGCCCTCTGCCCTGAACCCCCCCACACCCCAACACACACCCGGCCTTCTGCCCTGCACCCCCAGCCCTTTGACCTGACCCTTGAACCCCCCACACCCAGCCTTCTGCCCTGCACACCCACACACCTCCAGCCTTCTGTCCTGATCCCTGAACCCCCCACACACACTCCAGCCTTCTGCACTGAACACCCTCCCCCAGCCCTCTGCCCTGACCCCTGAAACACTCCCTCCTCCCCCCCAGGTCTGGGGTCCCGGCCATAGGCCCTGCTCAACCTGCTGCTGGCCTAGGTGAACAGAACCTCAGGCTGGCAGTGAGCTGAGCAGGCTGGTGGTGTAAGATCAGCATTTTAATTTAATTTTAAATTATGCTTCTTAAACATTTTGAAAACCTTGTTTACTTCACATACAGTGGTTTTAGTTATATAATATAGACTTATAGAAACAGACCTTCTAAAAACGTTAAAATGTATTACTGGCACGCGAAACCTTAAATTAGAGTGAATAAATGAAGACTCGGCACACCACTTCTGAAAGGTTGCCGACCCCTGCTCTAGGTATTTATAGAGCTGGTTTGAAAAACAGGAAGGGGGGGGGGGAATCAAACGTTTGACACTTTCCTGTCTCTCATCCAAATTTTATTTGAAATTTGAAAAATTTTGACCAGCTCTGCCTTCGAAACCTCAAAAGTTCAGCCTACATTTTATTTTCATCTGAACATGTTCATCCATCTCAACTCTAAAATTATTAAGTATACACACAGAGCTAGTACTTCTATGTAGGAACCTCTTTAAGAATATTGATTTCTTCCTTCTCCCTGCATCAGGCTATACAGTACATGGAACTGATTCCAAAGGATATGCAACCAGTTGCCGGCACGGAAGGGGCATCCTATCGTCGTAGGCAGTTAATGAGGCAGCTCCCCATTTATGACCAGGACTCTTCCCACTGCCATGGCCTTGCTGAAAGTGAGATAAAGCTTATGGAAGATTTTGTAAAGAAATACAAAAGTGATGCTCTGGGAGTTGGTGAAGTTGCACTTCCTGGCCAAGGTGGCAGTGCCAAGGAGGAAGGGAAGCAGCATGACAAAAATGCAGCTGCAAGTAAACTGCCCATTTCAACCAACGGAGCCCTGAGTGATGCACCAATGGGAGTGGAGTATGTAAGTGTCTTTTTACTTCTATGAAGTTCTTCTGGATGCTGACGTTACTGCATGTTGATGAGTTCCCATTGCCCAAACACCTTTCAAAAGCACTCAGTGTTGGCCCAACCCTGCTCTCATTGAAAGTAGTGTTCGGAAACGCTATTTCACTAGGAGGGTGGTGAAGCACTGGAATGGGTTACCTAGAGAGGTGGTGGAATCTCCATCCTTAGAGGTTTTTAAGGCCCGGCTTGACAAAGCCCTAGCTGGGATGATTTAGTTGGTGTTGGTCCTGCTTTGATCAGAGTATTGGACTAGATGACCTCATGAGGTCTCTTCCAAACCTAATATTCTATGATTCTGAGTGTTCACCCAACATTGATCATGTCTTAAAAGCTGAGTACCTACATTTAATCATATGGAAAAAAGCAGCCTTGTTTTCATTACCTGCAGCTCCTATTGACTTCAGTGAGAGTTATGGGGTTCTCAGCCCCTTTAAAAATCAGACACAAGCTGTCTCAAGTTGGGCATGAGAAAATGAGGCACACGCACAGTTGGCGGCTTTATTTTACTACACCTATAAATTACTGAATAATTCAATTGGGTCTTCAACCCAAATAAAAGTAAAAATAACTTAAATAATAGCAGGCAGCATTATATTTGAACATAATGCTTTGAACACGTAACGGTGGAGGTGCTCTGCACTGAAGTTACATGAGCAGTTATTTTTAGATATTTCACAGGTTTATGATTTAATACATCTGGAATCCATCATCCATAGATGTGCACAGCTGGGATTGAAAAATGCATTTCCGAAAGTATCCAGATTCTTTACCAGTCTTTTGTGCTCGGAGAATATAAATCTAATGTAACATAAGGTTTAAAAGGGGTCTTAGGTGGTCAGCGTGATCATTCCAAGAAATGCCTGTCATAAAATATATTAATTGAGCTGGAAACCTATTTCATGCTGAAACTTGCCAAGATAACTTCAATGATTGATTTTAAAGCTGAAAAACTAAGGTGTGAATTTTTAAGGCAATATTTTCTTGTAATTATTATACTGCGATTGTAGCATGTCAAGTGCAGTCACTTTTCATTCCCTATCAAGTAAAGACATTTTAACTTTCTCTTTGTCCATGTCGACTAGTATGTAACTAGTCTTCAGAGTCTGGAATACACCTAAAGCTGGGTGAAGAATCACAAACTAAAAAATTTAGTATCTGAAAAAGGAAGACTTCCATTAAACTCATTTATAAAAGCCATCTTGGCACAAAGAGCTTATTTAGACTGGAAGTTTGTCCTTCCAAGCAAATACATAACTGTGGTATTATTCTTCCAAGAACTTGAAGCTTTATTTTTGTTCAGGCACCAGCTGAAAACTGAAATTGTTTCAAAAATAGCACCAATGTCTCTCTCTTGTAATTAAGGTATCACATAGCTGAACTTTGAGGCACCGCTGTAAAATTCCACAGCAGGCTTTGCCATACCAAAGAGTAACTGCACATTTCCCAGTCTAACAAGGGCACCCATTTTAGTATGATTTGATGCAGTAATTAACACAGCTGAACTGGCCTGAGTGGATAGGATCTCAAAAGCTGCATGTGTTAATGTCCTAAATTATACTAGCTTTCCTAGAACTGCACAGGAATGAATCCTGAAAAAGTCATTCTCTTAGAGAATCAGACCCCCTTTGTCTGTTTTTCTGTAGCTTTCTATAATCACTTGTATGAAGTGGGTGTAAAAAATTCTACCAGTTTTTCACAGAAGTGTAAATGGGCAAGAAAAGTAGAATTAGGCCAGACCGAGATCAGGGCTGGCTCAGCCAATACTGAGATTCCTGCAACGCCAATGCTAATATGACTATTACTCTTCATTCTCCAGTGCCACATGATGTGCTAAACAAGCTGCTCCTTGACAAGAGCTATGTGGTGACATTAACTTGCGTCCTGGTCCTCTCTCACTGCCTTTGTTGGAGCATATCATAGATTCCTCCCTCTTCCTGTCCACACCAACTCACATTTCTCCTTACTCTCAACACAGAAACATGCACACCCAGTACTGGGCGCACACTGTATTTTTCTTGCCTCTAAAAGTAGCATGGATGAGGGAAGGAGGCTGTGGACTATGGCCATAATTCTGCACTTTGATTCAATGGCTTTATACTAGCAAGCTTCTCATACTCCAGTGACATTATACCTGTAAAAGAGCTAAGAGTTGGGCCTTGAATCTTGGGAATTGCAGTTTGGGGGCAAGGCAAGCCTGTGGCTTTGCGGGTGGTTGGGGGTCCCAAATTTGTTTGAAATTGCCTGGAAGACAAATCTTTGTCTTTTGTGCCAGGCTCCCATTCAGTCATGAATAATTCCCTGATTCTTCTTAAAGACTAAGAAGGGATGGCAGCTATGCACCGGGCTGCAATTCAAATCCTGTCCCATTTGTCCAGGCTAAGATGCGTCTTTGTATTTTATTCCTTGAAGAGCCAGGCCAAGAGTGCAGCAAATGGTATTCTACAGCATTTACCTTTCAATTAGTGAGTAGCCAAAACAATGGGGGAGATCTGAACAAAATACAGAAAAAGCTGACTGAGAATGAATTTAAAGTTGCTTTAATGCAGGCAGAGAATGAAGTAAAAGGGATGTAAAGATACTAGCAATGCTAAAACTTAGAGCAAACTTTTATTTGTCATTTAGACCGTTATCGCTCTAGAGCCAAGTATGGCTATTATCTAATGCCACCATCTTCTGTGCATCTCCCAAAATCATAAAGTGTAAGCCTAAATATTGCAACATCTTCACTGCATAGACTGACTTCTTTTTGTCTGTGGGATCTCTCGTTTCTCCCCTCCCTACCACTGCTTCTGCTAGGAGGTTTCAATAAAATCTGTTAAGCAATCTCCATGCCATCTGAAGCTGGCCTCAGAGAAGGGGGAATGTTTCATCTGTGGTCTTGGGAATTACCAGGACAGTAAGCTATACTTGCCAGTTTCCTGACACCCAAGATAATAGGTAGAGGATGGCGAGGTCACAGAGTTTCCAGTCATTGAAGATATGAAAGTCAAGGTTGAGGGAGGAGGCCAGTCTTGTTACAAAATGTGAAATGGTAGGGTGTACTATTTGGGGTTTTTCTTGAAATTCACTTCGGCAGCATTTTGCTTGTTTTCTGTACAGATGGTACAGACTCAGGTGTATCCAAAGGAAAGGTTTGCATGAATCCCAGCAGCCGATTTTTTCACCGGGGCCTAATTCAAACTGACTTTGCTGTCAAGGAGATCAGATTGAAGTACAGAACTAAAACCTTGTGCAAGATGCTCACAGCTTTGCATTGTGACAACAGTAACTACATGGGACCATTCCAGTTCATTTATCCGTGCAGTATTTGGTCTCCCCTTGACAAACCCCTTCATATTAATTGCATGTATCAATTGGCGAATACCTCCCTAATACCAATCTTGAAAGTGCTGTTGCACACTCAGGCAGCTGTTTCCTGTTGAAATCAAAGTGTATAAAGCAAAACTTATTGGATCAGTGTAATTCTCTCCCTAAGAAAGGGAGCTGATCTCAACCACTGCGGCTGTACTTTTTTCTGCTATGGGGAGGAGTTCCGTAGCTCTACCAGTACTGTGCTCCTACTCAATATCTCCTGTGAGACAAACTAGTTTTCTGTCAGGCAGAAAACAGACTATTTCTGACCCACCCAGTCTCAATAAATGTTCCAGTATTGCAGCCAGCATGTTGGAATCAAACAAACCAAACAGCTAAGCAGTCAATCAAAATTAGCCACAGTTCCAAATAGTTTGAGGCCAGCAGCAGTCTAATAAATATTCAGTGGTAGCACAGACATATTGAAAAAGAAAAACGTAGCTTCAACTGTGGAAACTTCAGTTGTAAAAGAGCTTTGAGAATGACTGGCTCTTTTGAGAGGTCAAGTTCTGAAACAATTCAATATGGAGGAAGAGGGTAGCATTCAGTTACCACCAGTTACTACAGGTGGTAGTCAGCAAATGAAGAATTCACTCATCCCCAGAGAAATGGAGCTCTAAGATGAGTGCCTTATTATGATCCTACTAAAATGTGCAAAAGAGTTCCATCTACCACAAGGAAGAATAAGTGGAAATATTACTGTTTGATGCTTAGTGAAGACTGAATAATTGCCATAAGAGGGAACAGAGAAACAAGTTCTGAGTGTTTTTATTGGCAAGAAACATGAGCTTGAACCCAGGGAGAGGTTTTTTTTTGCTTGTTAATGCTGTGGTTTAATAGTTAGATCTCCCAAAATCAGCAGAGTTGGAATGGGTCAGTTCTTGGAGATCTCCTCTGAGGCAGCACGCAAGCTCCAGGTTGCTGCTGAATATGATGGTGAATTCACTCGATGGCCCTCTTCTCCCTGAGCCAGGCCAGAACCAGTGCCCCTAGACTGATATAGTGGGTTACAGTGAAGTTTCCAGTGTTCAGATGGTATGTAAAACCCATTCATTTAAAGAATCCATCATATTTTTTGCAAGGACAGAGATGCTAAGTCTGATGTTCTGGCCAAAATCCAAGTTAAATGATGATTCTCCCTGGCACTTTCAAGTGCAGAAGTTATGCTTCACTTTCCCTTTATAAAAAATGTGGCTGATGCAAAATATCTGTTTACCATTCTGGAGATGGATGAGTGAGCCCTTCTAATGTTTGTGTGAATATTTTAGTGTTTTGGAACCCTTCAGGGTGAAAGGAATTGTAGAAATTTGACTGACATCCTTCCATTCCTGTATAAAAATTGCATGGGATGCCAAGTCAGGTCATATCTGTTCAGTTGTGTGGCCTTGCATGTCCAACATTCTGCTGTCCTCACTGGCTAAGATGGAGCAGAGCAGGATATTTGAACTCTGCAACACCATGGTCATGTTCCTAGCAGTGCTGCCCACACAGACTTCCCCCAGGGTGTCTTAAAGCTGCAAAGGGACAGTTACCATCATTCAGATCCACAGAACAGTAATTGGTATGTTTAGCAGCAGTGTTATTCTGAATCTATTTCCCCATGTTAAGTATCCTCACACCTTTTTGTCAACTGTCTGAAATGGGCCATCTTGATTATCACTACAAAAGTATTTTTTCTCCTGCTGATAATAGCTCATCTTAATTAATTAGCCTCTTAGAGTTGGTATGGCAACTTCCACCTTTTCATGTTCTGTATGTGTATATATATATATATATATATCCTTACTATATGTTCCAGTCTATGCATCTGATGAAGTGGGCTGTAGCTCACGAAAGTTTATGCTCAAATTTGTTAGTCTCTAAGGTGCCACAAGTACTTCTGTTCTTTTTGAGTAATTGTTATGTGTTGCTCTGCAGCAGAACGTACTGGGGTTTGGATATGTTTTGCTTTGAGATTCTTGTTAGAGCATGAAACCGGAGTAAATCTATGTAAACTGAACCTGGGGAGGGATAAGGTTTGTACAAACCCTTAGAGGAAAAACATTTGCAGGGCTCTGCTTTTGTTACATCATCACCACCACCTTTTCTATATGACTGCATGAGGAAGCATTAACAATGAAATGTGACGCTTCAGAATTCTGTCAAAAGAACTGAAGCCTGGAATGGTTCACTCCTTAATCTGTATGTTGGGAATAAACAGTGTTCCTCCTATTCCTTAAGAATGTTCATTTTGTCAAGGATGATCAGCCACTGTTTCAACAAAGGGCACATATTAACCCCTGGGTACATAGGGTAGGTGTGCTTGTAGTGGAGGGGTGAAGGAACTAGTCGGGAATCTATCTGCATTGCTATTCAGATATAAGCACTTTCTCACAACTATAACCAAGGAAGGAGGCAGCAGCATGATGTTGCAAGCTTACATGCCACATGCTGGAAATGTTTGATTCTGGAAAAAACGTTAGTACAGCAGAGTGCTCTGCTATAAAAGGGAGGGATGAAGACAATGCTGGGCAGTCAAGGGATGTGCTCATCTCAAAATAGTCTTTTCAATACTTGAGACTTGATTAAATCTGGTGGGTTCCTTTCTGTCGGGAATGAAGTGGGAGGCATGAGATGAATATCCAGAGAAGAGATGGCTATTACTCCAACTTTCTACTTGGTTGGGTGGTGGAATTGTTAGCAAGGCACTCTGAGGAACACACCCTCCCCCCCCATTTTCAGATTATGTGCCCGCGTTTAGATTATCTAGATCTTTGGAAGTAAAGTCAAATGTTAAACAACTTAATATTTTTTTGTTTAAATTATATAATTGCAGTCTACAAGGCTGCCTCTCTGAACCTGGAACATGATCAAACCACATGAGTCCTGCCCCTCTGCCCACACCCCTTCTCCAACCACAGGACTCTCTGATTGTCAGAGCTTCCAGCAACTGTCACTCTGTACACAATGTTGGGAAAAGCTTTCTGTCTTCTGGTGCCCAACAGCTAGAGACACACACAAACGAAATGGCTGTTTGCTGTAAACATGAGTTGGAGTCTTGAATTTTAATTCCTAACTTCTGATCCTCCACAACTCTTGCCACACTAAACTCTGTGAAATAGTTAGTGGGAGAGTTTCTCAGTGAAACAATTAATCAGGCAGAGTAATTTTAAATCGCAACATGTGTGAGACAAGTTGCTTAAGCAGTACATCTTGTTTTGATGAAACTTTAACCAGTGCTTCAAAGACTGCTGGTAGAAAATTGCCTTACAGCCAAAGGCTGTGCTGGATGAAATTCCAGCTGCCACTTAAAGCATTTCGTTTGATGACTGAAACTAAAATGCTGATCAAGTGCAGACTCAGCAGCTACAAGGCAGACTCTGTCCATCCAAAATTGTAAAATGGGAACATAAAGGGCAACCTGTCAGCCACAATAAAGTCTGTTTTTTGGCTGTAGAGAAGAGGGGTGTGTGTGTTGGTTTGTTTTTTTTTTTTTTTTCCCCCCCAAATGTGTTTTTAAAATGATTGCAGGATTTCCCATTGTGGACTATAAAATAAATAAATCCAACCAATCCTAATTGTAGTATGAGCTCACAGATCTCCCCAAGTACCTGCAGGTAGCTTTCACTTCCCATCCTTTTGTGGACATGTGGCGTCTAATTATCTTACCTTGGTGTAAATGAAGGGTAACACCACTGATGTCCATGAAGCTACACCTGTTTTAAACCAGTGTATGTGAAAGGAGAACCAGGCTCTTAATCTCTCAACATCTGCACAAAATTACACCTGTTAAGACATGCTGAATTTTTTGTTCTGAGTTACAGGATGTCATGTAAATGTAAAATCAAAACTGATCAACTCTGTAGATGACCTGCAGATTGGGGGAGTGGTAAATAATGAAGAGGCCAAGTCACTGATAAAGAGCAATCCAGATTGTGCTTGTGCCCAATTTACCAATCTGTTTCACTAGGGCCAAGTTTTAGGTCAGGCCCTTAAGAACAAAGACTGTAGGCTGCATTTAACTCAAATTTATCAAAGAGAAGATTAAGGAGTGACTTGATCAGTCCATAAGTACCTACACGAGGAACAGAAATTTGATAATAGAGGGCTCTTCAATCTAGCAGACCAAGATATAATACTACCCCATGGCTAGAAGCTGAAGTTAGACTAATTCAGACTGGAAACAAGGTGCAAATCTTTAACAGTGAAAGTAACTTTATTATTGGAACAACTTATCAAGAACTGTGGCGGATTCTCCATCACTGGAAAGCTTTAAATAAAGATTGCATATCTTTCTAGAAGACCTGCTGTAGTTCAATCAGGAATTAATTCAGGCAAGTCCTATGGCCCAGCTATGTGGATGTCAGACTAGATTATTACAATATCTTGCAGCCTGTGAAACAATGTTAAAAATCTGATTATTTTTTCTCATCAGAAGGTTACAGGGCCAGATCTTTAGTTGATGGGGAAATTCGTGTAGCTCCATTGACTTCAGCTGGGGTAAGTTGACACAACTCCTCTGAATCACTGGCCCTCAGTTCTCATCCTGGGGTAGCAAGTCTTTAATCCTTTTCATTGGACAACTTTGCAGCACTGCTTGCATGGCTCCTTGAGACTGGTTTCTACTTTTTACTTCTTGGTCATTTCCTCCAAAGAAAAATATTACCGCAACTGGCTCCTTTCCTCAGCTCTTCCAACTATTCTTGCTGAGAGTAAGGGGCAGGGGGAAACAACTTAAGCCTAAATTATGCAGCTAAACCAATACCTAAATTGGACATTTTTTATACAAGAATTCATACGTGTTCTGCTGTTAGGCCACTGATGGTTTAAAAACAAGAGATCTTAATCCTCCTACTGCCAGGCATAAGCTGATTATCAGGCTGAGCCTGAGACCAGAAAGTGTTCCCCTCTTGGTATATTATTGAACAATTAGCAGCATTCCTGTCTAATTACTGCTTCCCCTGGTATATCTAAAAGTCCTCCGTGTTGGAGACAAGATGGACTGTTAGGCTAGATGGATTATTGTACTAGTCCACCATGGCAGTTATCCGTCAGTACTTACCAACTGTATAAGTAAGAATATAAGATTAAAAAAAAGCCATAAATCAGGAATTCCTTTTAAAAAAGCCACTAAAATATGCAAAATTCTTAATCATGAATATGCCTTGTATTTACAGCAGGTTTGATTGCCATATGAATTGCAGAAAGTATTCTTGTCCAGCAGAGGGTATGAACTACCTGGGCAGTCCTCCTCTCTTTTCTCCCCCACACAGTCAATAATCTATTCTCTATTCTAGTGCTGCGAGAACTGCAAACAGGTGGTGCCTACAGACTGCCCTGTGGTGTACGTGGACAGAGCGGGCTACAATCGCCAGTGGCACCCAGGCTGTTTTGTATGCTACAAGTGTTCTGAACCTCTGGTTGACCTGATCTACTTCTGGAAGAACGGTGCGGTTTGGTGTGGGCGCCATTACTGTGAGAGTATAAGGCCACGCTGTGCAGCTTGTGATGAGGTAGGGCTGATTCCCTGCTGCAATTCTGCTACCCCTAGGAAGACAGGCTTTCTTGGACCTTGTGCAAAGAGACCTGTGGGGCCTCCTACTCTTCTATGTTCCTCCATCTCTGTATACCCAGGAAACTCTCTTCTAGCTGCATCCTGCTTATTTGTGGGGTTTCCTTCCTCCCATGCATGCTTTGTGTGTCTGTGTGTTGCAGGGGGAGGTGTTTGCACACACATGCACCCCTGTTTGAGGTTCTGTGGACCTGGTTATCTTCCTACACGAATCAAGAGGCTCAAATACCATATGTGGAAGGTAGTTAGAGAATTTTGTTCTCTGATGCTTTCCACTGGCTCTAGAAATGTCAAGGACAAGAAATCTGGCTGGTGAGTTGGATGTGCAGTATAGGGCTACTAGAAGAGCGAGGTCTCCATGCAGTTAGATAGCAGTAAGGGTTATGAATTGGAATGGGCTTCATATGCTGTTCCTTTCATTGAAACAGGCACTTGTGGTTTAAATACCTTTTAATTTTTCAGGGGGTCTGAAGAGCCGGTATTTGAATCAGGATTAGAGTGAAGATGAGGTTCATGGTATAGGGCTGGGTTTCAGGTATGGAGTCGACAGTGCAGAAAATGTTGATCTGGTTGTGTTATATTTCTTGCCAACAAAGGCATAATCTTGCAAGTTTCCATCATCTCGTGCCAAAATCTCCTCACAAGGGCAACCATTCTTGTGAGATTTTGCTCATATTAAAAAGAGCTAATATTTCTCCTCTGGCTTTTGGATCTGGCCTAGAAGCAAAATCACTGGATAGACTCAGACTCTGATCCAGAGATTTAATCTCCAATTTGAAGTGGTTCAGGTCTGAGATCCTAGTTTGGGGCTATTTAATTATTAAGAAGCTTTGTCAAAAAAAGTCAACTGCTGTTGTCTCTATTGAATGTGGCATTTCTTAAAAGGTCCTGGATAATGGTCTCATTGAAATGTAATCCAGTATCTTGAAGGTAGACTATGTAATTGTGTTCTCATGGGACCCTATATCTATTATGGGCTTGTCTACACTTACCGGAGGATCAGCGCTGTGGCGATGGATGAATCGGCAGTCGATTTAGCGGGTTCAGTGAAGACCTGCTAAATCAACCACTGATTGCTCTCCTGTCGACTCCTGTATTCCACTGGATTGAGAACAGTAAGGGGAGTCGACGGGAGACGCTCTCCCGTCGACATTGCATAGTGTGGACCCCGCGGTAAGTAGATCTAAGCTACATCAACTTGAGTTACGCTATTAACGTAACTCAAATTTGCATAGCTTAGATCGACTTTCATGCATAGCGTAGACAAGGCCATCTCATGAAGAGATACAAATGGTGAGATGCTTTTAGAGAGCGGCTCTGATACAAGTTGCACACATTTTCTACAAACAGTTTAAAAGACGTTGAAGTATTGGCATTAAAGAATTGCAGTATTGCAGGGGGAAAGTCCTGCCTCAATGCAGGGTAGAGAGCTGACATTACCCCCATTTATTATTCCTAATAGGGAGCAATCAGCTCATTTTGTGATCATCCTACTATTTTGGGGTGGGGGGCAGGCTCATTTTCTAACTCCACTGGCGCAAATCTAGAGTAACGTCATTTTACTCAGTGTAGATACACTGGATTTACATTAGTGTAGCAGAGCTGAATTTTCCCCTTTATTTGCATTTAAAAATCTGTGGGATTTTTTTTTCAAAGCGACATGTAAATGGTCTGTGGCTTTGGTTTCACCATCAAGAATGATCCAATACTCTTTGCTTACAAGTTCTCCTAAGAACAGCTTCCATATCTAATAGAGACCAGTAAATGTGCTCATTTGTTTGTTTTTGTGCTCCAACTTGGCAAACTCCCTTTGCTCACCCAATGAAGGGTGATGGTTGGTGTGCATGAGGAAAAACTACGGCAATAAACAGATGTATTTGTTTACTTCCACAGATAATATTCTCAGCGGACTACCAGCAAGCTGAAGGGCTGACCTGGCACAAGAAACACTTTACCTGCCTGGTGTGCGAGACCCTGCTGACTGGCAAATCCTTCAGCCTGGATAAAGCCAAGCTTCTATGTACAACTTGCAGTAAAACCAAACATCCGTAAACACCCAATAGCTTGAGAATCCAAAGTCTGCTCTCATAGATCCAAGTTAGAATTGGTGTAAATTGACAAATATGTGGAAAGGGTTGGAGGGGGAAAATCACTTTGTTTCGCTCAAACTAGAGTCTGGCGGTTCACTGTCAGGCAACTAGAAACCAATTCCCCCCACCATAAACCCTTAAATTGAAGGAAAATAACCCTTTGGGGAGGAAACAAAAAGGAAATTCACGTGCTAGGGGACAAGGAGATCTCTGGTCTCTTACTGGGAAAGAATTGCACTAACGCACTGGCATAAGTCGTTTCTGGGAGATCAAATCCACTAGGCTAAACCTTGTGATTAGCATGTGACTAATCTGAACCCAAGAAATCCAGAAACATGCAGACTTTTGGTTCAACTGTAAGATCTTGCTGCATCCTTTTTATAATGACACATTTCAAAAGCCCTTTTCTGGCATACTAAACCTATGGTCAATAACTAGTTTTATGGAGTACGTGTATTCATAGAAAACTAGCAATTTGTACTAAATCAATAGATTCAAGGAATTAAATTAACCTAAGAAATTGTTGTGGGTAGGAAAATTGTATCCATTGTGGAAATAAGCAGGCTTTTCCTTGTTGGTGTATAATGTCCCACTTTTTCACTGTAATTTTGGCATATTAATTGCCTGCAAGAATTTGGTTGCAGGTAGATTATTGCAGTCCTCCTGTGAGCCATGTTTATCTAGGCTGATGGCAGAATGGAGTGATTATAAGGGCAATTGACTAATCCCACTATTTAATTGGAATTTTGATATGATGAAAAATTCCTGAAAATTCTTAGACTTGTAGCCCCAAGGCTACAGGCTTTAACCTCATACTCACCTCTCATCCCCTTTTATAGTTAGTGAATTTCTGGGGAGAGGCGTGGTATTAATGGGAGTAGTAATGGGATGGCCTGAACAGTGGGATTTATTTGGATTTGTGTACCATTGGTTTTTGGTCTAGCAGTCTCACGGAAACCAACTTTCTCATCAGAACAGTCTTGGTTCTTGCTGTGCCTGATACATTAGGATAACATTTTAATGCTCCCACCCAAGAAACTGAAAAAGGATTCTTAATTTCCAGACCCTCCCAATCCTCTTATCAATTCCCTAAGTCCATCTGATTCTGGTAATAGATAAAAAGAACATCCAAATGGTACAGATGGGTATAAGCCTGGTTTTCTATATTATATACCCAAATTACTCGCTAAAGAGAACTGTAATCGTTTGCAACAATATTTCCATGCTAGATATGTAAAATGCTTGGGATTGCTGGCTAAACTTTCTTTAAACTATAGAAGATATGTCTGTCTTTCAGCCAGACTAGGTATAACTGCATGCTGAGTGTGAACAATTTCTGTAATATTACTGAAAACGAAAATGTGGTGAATTTGAACATGCAACAAACATATTGGCATAAGCAGTTGAAAGCTGGATGCACATATCCGGTTCCCAGTTCTTCACACCTTATTGCAGGCACAACTGCACAGGCAGTCACACCGCATGGGTGTACATTCTACATGTTCCAAGTGAAACCTAAGTTTACTCAAATCCAACTTCACACCTGAAAAGGAGAACATCTGCCAATATAGATGAATCAACATAAGCCTATATCTGGGAATAGGGGTGGGAATGGATAAATCCACATAGGGAGGTCTGTAAAAACATAATGGGGACTCTTATGACGCACATAATAAAGGTTCTGTTATGAATGCCGCTGACTTAGTTGACATGTTTATAATTGGTATTCCTGGACATGCTTGGACATTTAAAAATAAAACCCTACCTCCAGGACTGATGTAGTATCATCAAAAGTTTTGAAGTTATGCTGATGGTAATAGTCATGGGAACAGTGAAAATGCATCATTTGTGGAGTAGCTACAGTATGCATATTTCGGGGGTTGCCTGTGGCCATTTTGTCAATCTGACTCATCTCTGATTCAGCTACTTATAAATCACTTTAAAATGTGTTGACTCCAAGTTACAGTAGGAATTGTTAAGCTCTATCTGAATGAATAGCTTTGGATACAAGTAGTCAATGATCGTTGAAAGTTAGCAATGTATGAATGGAAAATAAAAACCAATGGCTTCATTTTACTGCACCCTTCATGTCCTTTATAGTATCCTGAATTATTGCTGCCCAATGTATGTGAACTATCTAAAATCCATCTGATATTTAAAAAAAACCTCAAAACAATGTACTTCTGTACCTTAAACGATTAAGAAGGGTAAAAAGCACACACTGCATGCAATCGGTGGTGACAATAGCCTGAATCATGTAGAGAATACTCTTTCAATAAAGAAAGTAGCAGCCAGACAGCATTTAATGACAGGTATTCACTTTCCATTTGTGCACAAAGCATGCTATGTTGTAGCCAAATCACTTCATAAGAGGGAAATATGAAAAAAGAATGTGTTGAAGAAACCTACAAATCACATGCAATGAGCCAATAAAACATTGAGTTCTTTTTAAATGTAGCAAATATCACTCTTGCCATGAATACAGTACATCTTTAGTCTACCCCCTACAGAGTAATTGGTTTCTTCTTTTGCTTCAAGTAAACCGGCTGCTTATTCCTTGCATTATATTTGCTTTGAGATGGACACAGAAGCAATAGGCGCCTAAAGCCAACGATATTCAGGACAAGTTCAGATTTCATCTAAAAATGTCTCTGCTACTGCAGTTCATAAAGAGATTGTGTAAGGTAATCTTCCTCTTTTAAAATAATAAAACCTGCTCAGCTCAGCGTGAACATGAGGTGGAACAAATTGTTCTTGTTTTGTTATTTCAAAAGACACTGCTTGGTGGTAATATGTATAAATGTCAGAGCCGATGAAGGCAGAACACTGGTGCCTTCAAGTCAGAGAACTTCAGAATCGTAGTGAAACTGTGGGAAGAAAACATCTTTTCAGATATTTTGCTGGCAGTAACTTCATTTTCTTTTGTGTACAGTTTGTCCTGCCTGGGGCCTGACTGACCTTGGTTACACTGGTTTTGTACTTGTGTGGCTTCACTGACTTCTAGCCTGATTTTTCCATTGTGCCACAGTCCCTTTGAACTAGCACAAAGAAGCAGTAAACTTGGGGGATCCAGCCACTTGATAGTCCTATGTGGCATAAAACCAGCTTAATGATTCTAGGTAACACCTCTGCCCGCCCTTACCCCTCCACAGCTTCTGCCATCTCAGGGTGTGACCTTGCAAAGGGCACTGGGGTAGGGAAAGCATGGCTACAGCTCAACTTCACTCTGTCCCTGGATGCCAGAATGACATTTGGAGCTATAGGCAGCCAGGCCATAAGTGTCCCTGATGGGTTTGAAGGGCTGAAGCAGCCCTTCAAAATAGGGGGAGGTACCTGGGGGCATAAAGTATGATGGAGAATGTATCTATTGAATAGCTAGTCCTAATTTAAACTGGTATAGCAGATCAGATTTGGGCATGAAATTAGCTAGTGAAAGAAGCTTTCTATTTTCTACCCAGCTTTTTTGTAAGAATCTGGCCCTACAGATCCTTGATATGTGAGTAGTCCTTGCATAAGTAGTCCTAATGAATGAGACCATTCCCATAAGGAAGGGTTGGCAGAATCAGGTTCTTAATTTCCATTCTGAAACTTTGTTGTTGTTATGGGCCAAAATATTTTGTATTATATGGGTGTAAGTCTGGTAATAATAATAATAATTCAATTAACTAGTTATGGATTTTCATCTGTACAATTAAGAGCAGAATTTGGCCTAGTGTTTGAATTACTGGAATAAAATTTTAAGTTTAACTCTTCTAGAATTTAAAACAAACTTATTGTTTGTGTTTTAAAAAATAATAATTGAATAAACTCCTGTTTTGACCATTCTCAACACCATTGTGTCTGCTCTTTTGTTACCAAAAAAAAAAAAAAAGTTTGTTCTTTCTCTCAAAGTAGTGCTGTTGCGAGTCAAGCCAATTAAATCCTGGTTTGTTTTATTTAATCTCTCCAGATAAAATAGTTATTAAACTGTTTGCTCCTCAGTGTATTGTGGGCATAAGGTTCTGATTATGTAAAAAGTATTACAATGATTGTCTTCCACATATGTTTATCCTAATGAATAAAGATCATAGGCCATAGATTATAATACAATTATTTTTACATACAGTAGCAACTGTGTAAACTTGTATGTAGCTTGTGCCTCCATCAGTGGTGAGACAAGATGGGTGAAGTAATATCTTTTTTTATTGGACCATCTTCTGTTGGTGAAAGAGAAAAGGTTTCAAACATAGCTCTTTTTCAGGTCCATTTGCTATTAGTGGTGGCTAGACTTATTGAATTAAACAATAACCAACTAATTTGATCACTCAGGATTACAAAATGCTAACATAGCATGTTCTAGTTTGGATTTTTCTCTAATGATAGCAGTAGATAAAATCATAGCAAGCCCTTTCCTCTGAAGTTCCAACTTCAGATTTGTACACACCTCCCTGAGACCTAGAGAATTGGCCACCTCCCTCTTTCTTAGCCTCTGAGGCATTCGTACCAGTGTATAAAGCCACTCTGCTCAAAGCGTCTGTGACATTAAAAAGCTCAATTTTTTTTCCCCACCTCTCAAATGTCAGTATCTGGATCACAAGAATTATACGAACAGCCCAAAACGTGCTAGTCTCTTGAATCTCACTTTTCGTGTCAAAACAAATGCAAACATGAAGCCAGACACTAATCAGGAGCGAGTAAAGAAATATATTAGCCTCTATTCTTTTATGGCTCATCATCTAGAACAAAGAAGATTATCATAACTTCTTACACAATGTGCCATAGTATGTCCTCTGCAAGAAAGCTATATTGCAGGATACCCTATCCATTGCAAAAGCATAAATGAAACAATGTACACCAGCTGTAGGATTTTTTTCCACAGAAGGAAGAAAAATGAAAGAAGAATCTAGTATGATGATGTGTACTATAGCTTAAGCTTTTTGAGGCAGGGGCTGTCTTTAAGTGTTAGTACAACAACTAGCCCCATGGGGACTTGTACCATGACTATGTCTCACAGGTGCGACAGCAATGTGAATAATAGCCCCAAACAAGGGTGGTACAAAACACAAACAGTAAATGCTGTGATTGCTCTAATAAATTAATTCTTAGCTGTTACAAGGTGCTTTGAGACTACAGAGAAAAGGTGCCTTCCCTACCTTGTAGCATTTTAGCTGACAGCCGCAGACTGGCATCCATTGAGTAGGCAGTTGATTTTGTTCTCTTCCTCAAGCCAGCCAAATGGTCTGACATCAGAATTACTTTAGTAATCCCTGTTGTTTAACTGAGTTTTGATTCATTGACAGTGGCTGTGTACTGCTTCCTCTAGATCCTCTACCCAATCTTAGTACATTCCCATGGTTAAGCCCTTTCATGCACCTGTAACTCAATGGCAACGTTATCGTCACCTTCTGAAAAATATCCCTCTCCCTTTCATTTGCTAATGACCGCATTCACGCTTCAGTTTTATAACTGCCTCATCTTCAGAGGTGTAAAAAAGGATGGAAAAAAAACGGCATGAGGAATAAGCACATAGGACTCAGTTTGGGGATGACAGACATGAAAAAACTGGCTGTCAGTGAGGAACATACACGACCCCAAATCTTCCAGCTGCATTTGCAGCTACTAACAGATGTGTGATGTGATTTGAAGAAAGCAGATTTAATATTAAGTGCTCTGTGAACTGTTATGATGAAAAAGCATCCTGTCGGATTTGGGATATAATAAGACTTTCTGTGCTAAGGTACTAAAAGATGCTGAGCAAAAATTAAGCATTCAGAGCTGCCTTAATCAAAAGAATAACACCAATCATTCTGCATGTTTGGTTGTTTGCAAGGTGAATTGACAAATTTATTTTTCCCCCCTTAGCTCAGTTTCTTTTAACTGGAAAAGTCA